AGACCCAACAGTACCACCATGAGTCTTCCTGTTAACCCTCAAAGGACATTTTCCCAATTTTTCTGACAGATGAGAAGTTGTGATGGCAGACAGAGCAACAGCATATTCTGTGAAACAAACTGCCATGCCTGGTCAAACCCACTGCCAAAACAGACAATCACGTGCTCTCTGCCTGCTACTACCAAACCCGCACTGAGAATAACAAAACAATCTGACTCATCCTAAATGACTGTTTACCTGACCACACCGCTGGATGTCAACTCTGTTTTTTCAACTGCACAGTAAAGCAGCTTGCGTGGGCACCTGTGGGCTCTGACCTGTGGAATAAGGCTCTACTCTCTGCTGGTATCTTTTTATACCTCACTTACACTCTGTGCAGTTACTGGACACTACAATCACTGAATGATCTGTCCTCTGGTCTATAGCCAGAAAAAGAACTGGCAAAACAAAACTCTGGCAGGAGTGCTCCGGGGTTGTGTGATGCCAGAGTCTGAGGTGGGTGGAAACACCCGGTGTACACATTTGACATGATTTGTTTGAATTCGCTAAATGAAAGGGGCACTTTACAGGGATTTTCCTGGGTCCTTTCCAGTAAGATAAAGGCTCTGAAAGTGTGAAGTTAGCAGCTGGAGCACCAGCTGTGTCACTATTCACTACAATGTAGTTAGCTATTATTCAGAGATCAGAAAACATACTGTTTGAATAGATTGTCCTTAAATTAAGTATGTTATGTTTCTGTTTTAAGAGGAACAGTGTTGGGTTGCATTTTGGATTCAGTTCCAACTAAAACACATGCACTCATTGAACTACAAAAACTTTTGTGGAAGTAAAATATTCTTAAAGAGAGCTTTTGAAATGAAGCAAGGTTTTCTTTCTTTTTTTTTTACTATGAAAAGCAATAAAACTCATTAAATAACATTTATAACAATCAAAATATATTAAGAAAAGATCTGAAGGATGTTATTCTCCACTGTCTAGTGAGTAATGTTTAGCAGACCACGTGGAACATCATATGAAGCCCTTACAGATATAATGGTTTGGTTTTATGGAGCAACATAAATCCTAATTAATGCCCCTTTAAAGTGAAACTTATTTGGTACATTGGTTCTGCATGTTTTGGGGACATTTGAGTGAAGAAAACCACTGCGCCTGGAGTACAGTCTGGGAATCAGAGCAATGACCCAACAGAATCTGAACATTTTTTAGGACAGAACTACAAACTGTAAAGTCTCTTCAACTCAGACAGACAGAAGTGACTCTCTGTGTGGTATGTGTCTCTTACATGGGCCCGTTGGCTTCCTCCCCATGGCATTTGGGACATACTGTTAAAGGTTTACTGTGAAACAATGACCCAGACAGCACCGGCACATGGACTCAATTGTCAGTGCGTGTTTGAGGTTGAAATGATGAGACTTTGCTAGCTATCTATAGCCACAGAATGGCTGGATCCATAAATAAACACACGTGTTTCAAAGACACATAAACACCATTTGATATCCCAACTTCGCCACACTGACCTGCTTTCCCCGCATCTTTTTATATTCCTGTCAGTGATTAATACCCTAAAATGTTTCTTGGTAGCGGGGTAGAGAGACAGACGGCAACAGAGAGTGCTAATGCCGGGAGTGAGAGGTAAACAAATGTAGAGCAGGACAGAAGGAAAACATGAGGTTGTGAAATAATCTGTGGGGGTACTAGTTTCACGCTGTTGCTCAATCCGATCAGTGTGGATGGGCACAGTTACATCACTTTGAACATGACAATGTTTTTCCCTCATCTACATTACACTTTTATGCCAGGCTGAGCCAAAACCAGCTGAAACAATGAAAACGAAACAGACATACGCTGCTTCTTTGTAGTCTCTGGTTTTGAACTTAAAATAGGCAGTTTGTGATTTTTGGAACTTGTGATTGGCATTTCCACTCTGGTGGCAACGGCCAATCTTTCAGGGCTTCCGGTGAAGCCAATGGATATCTGGAAAACACATAATGGATATCCAGGCCAAGACTTCCTTCACGGTCCAATTAGCAACCTGATACACAAGAATGACAAGAAAGAGACATTTTGGCTAGTCTTTATAAACAGATACCTGAATATGAACGCAGACATATTTTTAAAAAGCTAATAAAAAGCTAACTTCATAGCAGACGATCCAAGATTACATCTCAGCCAATGTATTCTCCATCCTTTGCTCTCCACACAGACTGTTTACGTGCATGCCACGAAAGCCTGCTCAGTTGTGATTGGTCAATACAACTCGGACTATAAACAGAAACCAGAACGATTCCATTGCCAAAATCTTGGTCCCTTCCCTACAGATTGTGCATTCATATGCAGATGTCTGTTTATAGAGATTACTACCAGGACATCTAACAGGTAGTGTCTGTCAATACTCACAGCTGCTTTTTAACACCTGTGGTGTGCCAGCTATGGTGATTCAGCACAACAAAGCACAAGTGGTGGTACAAAAAGCGAAGGGGAGAAAAGGGCAGTTGTAAGGAGATACTGGTTTAAAATCATCAGGGGAGAAAATGAAAGTCAGAATATCGCGCCACAATAAAAAAAGATATTAATCCTGTGCTGGAATGTTCCCTGTGTTGGCCTGTCTGTCTGTCTGTCTGCCATCGTGTCTGTGCATCTGCCAGCAGCAGGGCTTTAATTATGAGGCCCAGGTTATGTGCACACGCACACACACAGGAGACTAGCGTCCCACATATCTCTAACACAGTGCCTCACAGTTCCGCTGACTAACCAGTGGCACCAGACTTTGGCCTGCGGCTCCCTGATTCCAGTAAATGTCTTGTTATGCAACTCCTAACAAGTGTCACCCAGTCTGAACTTCGAGCATTCTGGGGCTCTGCTGCTCTCTCTCTTTCTCTTTATCTCT